TAACTGACGCTTCTAAAATTTATAAAAACAATTTTAACTTTTTGCGCATACGCATTTCTGTCATTAAAGTATTTAAAAAGAAATTCTTCTAATTCATTTGGGAAATGATAGAAGCAATATGTAAACGAATTGATTAAAAAATTTACATCAGGGTCGATGTTATCATTAGAGATAAAATTATTTATTTCAGTAAAATTAAAGCTAAGGGATTCGAAGTCGTTAATTCCAGCCATATTTGTTATTAGGAATATTTTATTAGAAAATTTTTTTTTTTTTAAAACTAATTGGTATAGAATTTCTGAGATCTCTGCAAAAAACTACATCATAACTAAAAATGGCATACTTACCTTCTTTGCGCAGTTTTGCTTTTGCAGTTAACATCTTTAATTTGAGAAACTTTGACTTCTTGTGGGCACATTGAATGCGAGTTTGATGTTGCTTTACGTTTTCTGGTATTCCAATCTCTGACAATGAATTTATCGTACGAAATGTAAGCATATTTACCAGCCTGTCGTTCGACTTTCATTCTGTCGCGTAGTTCCTATCGTATTAGGTTTGTTTCCATACAGTAGTCTTCGGATATGTAGATGTTTTACCTTTTAGTTTAAAAGAATTCTTGAGTATTGCGGTTTTGTCTTTAAAACCTAAAAGTTTCAGGACGATTGTTCTGCGTTTTTTGTTTTCAATTTTCCCTGTCCTATGCGCTCTTTCAGTTTTAACATTATGAACCCCAAGGTAATCGTTAAATATTTTTTTAACTTTTAGTTCACTGTCATTCCAGCTTTCGTTGTCGTTTTCGGGACAACATCAATCCTAAGGTTGTTCCGCCTCGATCGATCTTCAATCTCTCTATATTTGTTGTTCATTTTTGAAAGCTCGTCGCTGTTGTTATTTGATTTGATATATTAACTTACGATAAGTTAACTTTTGTAATTGTATCAGTCGCGGTTTTAATTTTTTTGTTAAATAAGTCTTCATGAAAGTTTAAGCTAATTTTAATTTAATCAACTTCCTTCATAATAAATGTTATTTTGTTTGAGTTTTCTAAAACTTTACGTTCAACTTTATCCAAACGATCGTTTATTATTTTGGTGTTTGAACTAACGGTGTTAACAAAGGTAATTTCATGGTTTTGAACTTCGAGAACATTTCCTTGATCAACTTTTGGACTTCCTCAATCGTAACAGACATGATTTAAAAACTTATTACACAGGGACTAAAAAGTTTCAGTATATGTTTTTTTCCATATAACATGCTTTGTCCAAATCCTCATTTTTAGAGACAGGCATCCGCACTCTCTTCGCAGAAGTTTTATTTTTTTCGACTTCTGAATATACTGCATTTTTTTCTTTTGACCATCCAGACTACGTTTGCTTTGGAATGCCATGTTTCTTTGATATAGATACAGATAATTATGCTTTGTCAAGTTTTTTAAGTATTTTGTATTTTTCTGTTGTTAGCTCTACTTGATAGCTTTCATAAAGCAATCTTCCACATTTTTAGTAAATTAAAGTTGATCGAAGTACAACCGAATCGAAAATATCAGAGAAAATATTTATGTCGTTAAATTGACGCAAAGGTAATTTTCGAACGTTCTAGTTTTTGAATTTTAATTGATATTTTTGAATTTTTAATACAATTAACAAATAGAATTTAATCGAAGCTTAACTGAATCAAAAGATCTCCGTGAAAATGTTTAGGTATGTTTAATTGTATTTGCGTTTAAAGCGTTTAAAGTTTTAAATTTTTATTGAAGAATTGGAAGTTTTGTTATTATATGCACTTAAATGCAATTCAAAATAAAAGTCCAAGTTGAGCAAAGTTTTTTTGCCGAAGGGACCTCAAAAATTAGTAGGTGTTAGTGAATGGTTCGCCTTAAGTGTATGATTTTGAAGTAAGTTGATAGCGAATATTCAAGGGTAATTGAAAATTCGTTCGATTTAGTATAAGTCCAACTTATCCAGGGTCCTAGTTAATGGAATTCAACTGTACTAGCAATACCTGTAAAGCGGGTTATTAGTTATTAAATTATTAATAACAATAAAAACACATTAATAACTTGATATATTATCTAAAAAATTAAATACAAATTTATCTATAAATAATATTTCAAGTTTGAATCCCAATCAGAAATGTCATTGCTTATAGTTAACGACATAAATACTGCATTAACAACAGTTAAATTCTATTTAAAATCTCTCACAACACAGCAGTTACCAGAAAAGGAAAGTCAAGTACATTCACTACCATTATCTCTAGTAGTTATTGTTCGGCAAATTACTAAACTCGTCAAAGTAATTGCAAGTCGGATATAATCTAGACACAACCTTTCTCGAATGACTGCGTGCATTTTGAAAACGCGCTCTTTCATATTTCAGAAAGCTCTAGTAACTAATTAAAACTAGTTAAAAAACGAATGTGAAACGGCACTATTAAATTACAGTACGTTGGCTTAATCTGTAAACCAGCCAACTCCAATGTATGAAATGTTCAGGAACAACAAAAAACTGAATAATTTAATTATTAAATGGAAAAAAAAAATTAAAACACACTTTTGTAGATTATTAATTCAGAAATTGGTTTACAATGAAATTTTATGGATATTTAGTTTAATTGATTACTTAGGAGGAATAATTGGAGTTGGCTCGATTTAATAACCAAATTTTAAATTATTTTGGGAGTTGGCTGATTTTTCATATTAACTTTAATGATTATTGTATAATTTAATGATTGCTGTAATAACATTAATGATAAAGTGTTTTTATTTTGAGTTGTAGAAAATAGTTTAAAAATACAATAAAAATTATGCAGGGATAAAATAAGCATTTTAGAATTGTAGGTAAGATTTATTTATTGTTTAAATATAGCTATGCATGATATGGAATATTGAAATAGAACTCATGATAATCTGAAGGTAGGGTAGTTTTCAAATCCTAGAGGTCTTGAAATTTCCTGTTTTTAATTTTCAATCTTTCGGAGTACAGATTAGGCAACTGTTCAATATCCTTAGTGGTAATAAGCTTGTCACGACGCTACGGTAGCAACAGCTAACCATCTGAAAACATTAGCTTATAGTAGATGTTGCCATCCATGACATATTGTAAGCCACGAATGTCAGTTACCTCATTTTGTGTCAAAACATATATTGTGTTAGTAATAAATCCAAATACCTAAAAGTAAAAAAAATGCAATGACTCAAGGAAAAATGTATGTAAGTATTCTATAAAACAATACCTTGGGGTCCCCTTTTATTTTTCCAGGTCTTATTGATTTATAAAATTTGATTGAGATGATTTGAAAAATGAATGCGTCAGGTAGGAAATATCACAGGGTTCTGGTTTTTTCCGAGCACTTCTACAAGTTACACATACATGCATTGAGTCGGCTTCCATTTGGTTATGCCCAACCTCTAAATACTTCTGTTCCATATTTATTTGCTTGGAAATAACTATATTCATCAAAACATTTGACAATATTGAATTTCTGTTTTGTGACACGCAACCATCACTATATAAAATCAATTTAATATTGTTTGGCCTGTTGAGCCTGAGAAGAAATTTTTGGATAATAAATTTCCCCAATATGCTTGCATATTCTTCAGCATTTAGTCCTCCCTCAACTTTATTCTACAAATAACAGTCTCCAGCCTATGTTGTAAGATCAAATAAACAAAAGTTATAAACACATAGCTTCGTTTTATAATACAGAGAAGAAACATTTGATTTGGTACATCAACTGTAAAATCAAACTCTTCCTGTTCTTTGTCTTTCTATTTTTCAGTTTGCGCTTCATTTTTTCTTTGTATGTGTTGGTTGTAGTCTAGGTCTGATATAAAGCCAAGCTTGTGTGATAAACATTTTTCACATAAATCCTTTTTAGGTTGGAATATTTTCGATCTCCATTGTGTCGTTAAATCTTGCTACAGACAAATGGGCAATGTTGTTCGATAAATACCATTTATACACATTAAAATTATAAAGGGATTTTTTTGTAGACTATTCAGGTAAAATATATTTCTTAGATGTTGATTTGCAACAGTAGTGCGATTTCATTTTTCGCAAACTTTTAAAAAAATCTTTGAGTGAAGCTACTTTTATATGAAATAAACTCTCTCTAGCCTTCGGTGATTCTACCAATGATATTACTTGGTTGACAATTGATCTTGATTGTTTCCAACCCTATACGGTTGATTTTCCAATACACAGAGTTTTTAAGAACATTGTCTTACAGACTCTCTTCTTTCCTAAAATAATACTCAATTGAGCTAATTCTTTTGGATTTTGAAGAATCCTTTCTGTCTCTCGGTCTCTTAATAGGAAACCATTTGGCAAGACTATCAACATACACCTTCTTTTCTCCCCAAGTCATCTTCCAAAAACTTACGAAGATTTCCGTTCGATCTGTGTCTAAAATATCCAAACATTGAAAGCCAGATTTTTTGTTTGATGCGCATTTACACCTTGGTTTCAGCCTTTTTTCATTTTTAGGCACATCAGTGAATATTTTGTCGCCTATTCTTTTGCGACCAAAATATTTTTGTCTCTTTTCTCAATTGGCAAAATTTTTATAGTCTATCCATGTGGATCTGTCAACCTGACATCTCCTTCCCCGTTTGTCTTTTTTTGTCTCTTCTTCATTACCATCAGATTCTGAGTCTGAGTGCTCAGAATATAGGACCAAGGGAGCATTTTAATCTCTTGAATCAACAATGTCATTATTTATAAATGAGCTATTAACTATACCGCAAGGTATTTGTAAATCCTGATTTGGCACAAGAGCTTGAATGGAGACTCCAACCTCACTTGCGGGTGTATCATCCGTTGGGAATATTTTCTTATTGAAAACAGTAATGTAATTGGGTAACATAAAACCTTCGTCGAAGATCAAAAAAAAAATTGCTTCAATAGAACTGTCTTTATGAGAATATGAAAAATTCATCTGCATTTCTCCATTACAATGACCAATGTCTTTGGTAAATGACATTCTAAAAAATCATGTATTCATGTATTAAGAAATAACTACAACATAACCAAATACAGTATTAATTAATATATTAATATACACAAGGCAATGATTCAGTAATTGTAAAGTAATTATCAAACTTAATTTAACTGTTTTTGGAAACAAATATGCTTTAAAAAGTTAAAGTGTCTTACCTTGCTTTAATTCAGGTCCTTAATATTTTGAAAGCTTCAAATGTGTATGTTAATATATAAGTTACATTAAAAATTTAAACTCCGCGATCTAACACTTCACAATACAAAATGGAAAAATTGGCGGGAGTTAGCTGGATTGGTAAATCGTTTTTTGTAAACCTGGAGTTGGCTAGTATGGGTGTATTTATAATTTTATTTGAATTATGGTCTTTTTGCATATCATAGAAAATTTGAAGATCAACAAAATGACATCAAAATCTGGATTTCGATCAAACATGGAGTTGGCTTGTTTGCAGATTAAGCCATCGAGTATTTATATTAAAATATAAAAAATCCAGGGTATTAATCGCTCGGTAACGTAAATGATGTAACGTAAGTTAAGTGTTGACATCGTGTATAAGAGTGTAACTAATTTAAAACATCAGATAATACGAATTCTCTCAATACTAAATTTATTTGAAATTTTCGCCAGATTATAGGCACGGGCATCATCAGCATATAATATAATATAATTACAAAAATTATGACCGTTAAATAACAACAAAAAATATTTAAATTTTGACGTCACCTTTATAATGGCTTCTTTTACCTAAGTATGAAAAAAATGAAGTCCAAAAATTTGTTTTTAAATATTGTCCATTGTCCAAATTCATACCACCGTACGTTGGAGAACATTGATGTTTTTGAATCTCTAAGGCCTCGCGGACTTTTCTTTCAAATTTTTTATCCTCAACCTTAAGTGTTATTACTTTATTCCATTCAATGTCCTCATTACAATTTACTTTATGCAAAGCTAATGCAGACTGGTTTAACTTGCCTTCAGTAAAAAATTTTTGGTGGTGTTGAACCCTTGTTCGTATTTGAAGTTTTGTTTCACCAGCGTATACTTTGGAGCATTTGCACTTAATTAAATAGATTCCTGGGGTGCTGTTGCAAGGTAATTTAGACTTATTTTTGGACGCTAATAGCGTTTTAAGGTTAGCATTTGATTTAAAAACAGTTCTGTAACCAGTTTTTCTGAATATTCTTCTAAGTCTGGGAGATATTATTGGTATCCATGGTAAAGAGATTGTAGGAAGGTTTGATGGAATTTCATTTTTGTTCAAGTTTGATGGAATTTCATTTTTGTTCGCAAAGCGTTTTTTTCGAACCTGATTTAAAAATATCTTTAAGCATTTTTTCATCGTATCCATTTTCAGTAAACACTTGAATTAAAAAATTTATCTCATCTTTTAAATGGTTTTCGCTGCATATTGAGTAATCTCTGTGTATGTATCTTTTGAATATTGCTTTTAAAATTTTAGGATCATGATTAGAATGAGGTTTGATTTAGATATTGGTTATTGCATCCTTCCTGTAAACCTTGAACTCATATTTCCATTGGGTGTTATTAATAATAGTTATATCCAAAAAGTTAAGTATCTTATTTTTGTTTTCAAACTCAATAGTATATTTTAAAGAAGAATGTTGTATGTTAAGAATTGTTTGGAACTGTTCCGCTTGATTTAAGTTAGAAAACCTTGCATGGCTACCGTCTACATATCTATGAAAAGATTTAATATCAATTAAAGGAATCATTGTCGTTGCCATTTTTATTGCTTTTTCCTCATGGTATTGTAAAAAAAGATTCAGCCAAAACAACCATAAAAGACAATCCAATTGGGCCTGAATTCTCCAACTCATAAATCTCACCATTCCACAAGAAATAACAACGAAACAAACAAAGTTCAATTAGTTGTTTTGTTTCAGTTAAAGTAAGTTTAGTTGAGTTTTTGTAAAAAACGCTTTTATTTAATAGATCCAAAAGTATTAAAGTTGCTTCTTTTAATGGTATTGATGGGTATAAGTTCACAATATCAAAGGATACCTGTATTTCATCTTTGTCAATTAACCACGACTTAGTCTTGTTGATAAAGTCTTTTGAATTTTTTAACCTAATAGGATTTTCATTTAAGACCGGTTGTATTCTTTTAACCAAGTAAATCAAAATTCCATTACTAGGTGTGTCAATAGTTGATACAACTACTCTCATCGAATAAGATTTTTCTTGTTTATGAACTTTAATTAGCCCATACATTACAAGTTTAAAACACCTCTTAATTTATGAGTATGTTTTAACTAGTATCATTTCCACTTATAGCATGAAATATTGCCATCTAGGTGCAATAATACACACTTTAAGTATTTCTAATTCACCACATGCAACTTAAATGTTAATTTATGTGTTTCAATTATACATTAATTTTTTGCTCTCCTATTGCGCTAATTTTTTAATTTTATATATATATATATATATATATATATATATATATATATATATATATATATATATATATATATATATATATAATATATATATATATATATATATATATATATATATATATATATATATATATATATATACATATATTTATATATATATATATATATATATATATATATATATATATATAATTATATATATATATATATACACATATATTTATATATATATATATATATATATATATATATATATATATATATATATATATATATATATATATATATATATATATGTATATTGTGGATGTTCAATGTTAAAAAAATCAATACTATAGTACTACTATGTAATTGCACTAGGCAATAATAAATCAATCATCTTCATCATTCAACAGTCATCTTCATCAGGGTAGACTTTGATGCAACTGGAAATTCCTTCTGGTGAAGATCAACCAATCTAAGAAGAAACTGCTTTTGGTTTTCATCTTTCGTAACGCTTGAGTTAAAGGATGTTATAAGTGTTATGCCTCGTTCCGCGCAATCGTTGACGACTTTCATTTGACCAACCTTGTGCTTCATTTCAAGATATGTTGAATCCATTTCCCACTCTGAAGATTCTTTCATTAAAAATGATTCAGCTTTTTTTTTTCCATTTTTCAAAATTAGATCGAAAAGTTTTGCGGTGCGTTGTGTGACGAAGGAAGGCAATGGGCTGTGACAATCGAATGTGGGAGCATCAAGTCTTTTGAGAGATTTCTGCCTTGGCTGTTGTTTCAGGTTGTTTGCCATGTCTCTCGTGGTGTTGTTGTCGACACGGGAATCGAAGAAAGCCAATCCTATTAGATGTTCAGAAAAATACCAGAGGTGGCGATGAAAAGCTTTTGCTGCATTAATTGCAATTGTACGATTTGGATATTCTTGAATCCGTTGAAGAAGCTTGGCATCATTGAATGGTGCTCGTTCAGCTAACGGAGCTTCATTCCAAAACTGTCCGTATACAAATGCAACAAAAAGACTTATATCTGTTATTCCTTTCTTTTCCTTTGCAGTAATAACAAATTGATCCTGAAACAAATATATCTTTATACAATATATAGCTTTTGCCATCCAACGTGCATTGTGTGTTGCACCTGGAGCCCGAAACTTAACTTTGAACTTCGATGTTGTAGTTGATCCTCCAAGAAAAATAAGGCACAAATTCAAGAGTTCTAAGTAATCATCCCTGGGTTGTTGACCTTTAATTGCTTCACTATAATATACTACCATTTCTTCACGGAGTTTGAGAAAAAAATCGCAGTTGTAAAATTCTTTATTCCCTATAGTGAACACCTCCTTGTTGATTGCTGACCATTGTTTCTGGAAACGGTTAAAAATTCCAACTTCAGGTCCTCCACTGGTTCCAAATGCAGTCGTGAAAATGGTGGAAAGCATGACTTCAAACATATGGTGCCTGCATGCTATCCATATAAGATTACGGTCAAGATTCTGCTCCATTATTGTGCAGGCACCAATGTTCAACCCAGTGTTAGATGAAGTAGTGTCAAAAACCAGTCCCCGAACAAGTTCTTTCAATTTCCAGTCTTTAAGAGCCTTCATGCAAGCATCAGCCTGTTGCTCACCTGTACCTCGATCAATCTTTGGAACGCCCAGCAATTTTTCCACCCCACCACCAGTCACAAGGATGGCAATTCTATCCACTTTTTTTTGACCACCAGTGATATCAGGTAAGAGCTTTCCATCCCAATGCAGAAGAAGTGGATCATCAGGAGAGAAATCAACCTTGTCAGCTGTAGTCACCGCTTCACGAACAGATCGCCTTTTTCTGCAGATTGTGCTGTACGACAATGATAAATCTTTTACCGAGTGACCAAGAGCCTGAGACACTGTTCCAACCACGAAGAGTGCACGGCGATCAGAAATGTTAACACGATCAAGAGATGATACAACATTATTTGCTAGAACTTTCATCTTCTTTTTCGTTGAACCACTTGTGCTCAGTGTGCTGGAAGCGGAAGGAGTCTGATATTCATCATCATCCGAGGAACTAGAGCTACTTTCACTCACAATGTCAACTGCTGATGAAGAAGAAATGAGTTCTGTTTTTTCCATCAGTTCCGCTTGACTTCTTTGACGCCTCAATTCCATTTTAGTTTCTCGGACTCGTTTCCGTGCCTCCCTAGCTGTTAAATTCCGATCAATTCCTGCCTTACTACAACTTAATGGATCTTCTTGCTGCTGACGTAAAACTGCTTTATCTTCATCGTTTTTCATAACTTCTGATGCATTCTTGGTTGAAATATCAAAAAGTTCTTCAAGGTCAGCGTGGAAAATTCCTTCTTTCATTTGACAGCTGTCCAATTTTGATCCTCGGTGTTTTTTCAGCAGCAGATATTCGTCATAAAGTTTTTTTAACTTTCTTTCCGCATTGTCAATTCTTTGAGTTGGAATTTTTTATCTCTCCCATATAACAAGAACTGCTTCAATTGTTGCCCGAATACTTTTTTTCACTTCTTGTTTCTCTTCTGTATGATGGAAGAGCAACCTCCGAAGAACATCCCCTCTTGAAGGAAGTCTGGCAGTCGACAAAGTTTGTGTAGGTTTACCAACAAGCCACACCTCAGCAGAAGATCTAGTGGTTGCCATATTATCGATTTCTAAATTATAAATAAATAAACAATGAAAAAACAAATTTGCGAAATTTGAGAAAATCACAAAATTTTACCAATGGTTAATTCATCTTATAAAACATGGCAACCCCTAAAATTGCTTCTTTTAGTCTAATTTTTGGTACACATGATCCTAGGTGATAAAGGAACACAGGCAACCTTGAGGAGAATGTTTTTTGTGACATTTTTTTTTCTATTACAATCTGAATCACCCTAATATATATATATATATATATATATATATATATATATATATATATATATATATATATATATATATATATATATATATATTTATATATATATATATATATATATATGTATAGATATTTATACATATACATATATATATATATATATATATATATATATATATATATATATATATATATATATATATATATATATATATATATATATATATATATATATATATATATATATATATATATCTAAATATGAATACTGTAAAAATTCAATGTTCAATGTTCAATGTCGTTTCGCTTTCGTTTTTAAAGCAGTTTTAATTAGTTACTAGGCTTTTCTGAACTTTTCTGAACGTTCTCAAAATGCACGCGGTTATTAGAGAAAGATCTTTCAACCGAGTTAAAACTTTTTACCTTTAGAATTGAATTAATATTAAGATTACTTTAGAAATATTACATAAAGAATCATATTAAGATAAATAATCATCGTTAAGATCATATTATAATAATCATCGTTAAGATCATATAAGCATTGAAAATAGTTTCGCAATTTATACATAATATTTTTTATTAAAAATAAAATAAAAAGGATCACTCCTTTTAATTTTTTAAATCGTTTACATTTTGTTTGTTTTAGTTTTTCTTTTGGCTTTATTTTTTTCTAGCAGTTTTTATTGAGCATATCTTCTATTTTTTAAAAGGAAGATAGAGGTAAGGATGAGGTTTAATTATTTTTTTATGCAACAAAAACGTTATACTAATGCAACAAAAAAGTTATACTAATTTCAATAAAATTGGTTATTACTACCATGAAATTTCTGTGATGCTATTAACTGTTTTTGCTCTTTTTTAGAAAATTTAGAAAAATAAATTGAAATTTCGTGCCACTACTGACATGTCACATGTTATTGTATGTAAAGATTAAATTTTTGTTATGAGAACTACAGTTCTTATGAAAGAAAAAGGTAAAGAGTTTTGTTTGTATATAAATATTTATACTTTGTTTACTTTGAATCTTTTAAAATTTTTTCATGCCATTTTTAAAATTTTTGTTTGCACAATTCAAGTTATATGTTTATTGTTTGCATTGCTTTTTTGATAATTATGTGTATATTGTAAAATGTGCTTTATAGCTTTTTTTATCAATGTGTTTTTATAATAATATAACATGTTTTTTTATTGTTTGTGTATTTGTTAATATAAGTTATATAATTGTTTTATAAAAGTGTATAAATATGTTTATATATGTTTTCAAAGTGCTGTGAATTGGTAAACGTGTTAAGCAAGATTTGTCAACCTTGCCAGCCAAGTCACTTACTGCAAAGGCCCTTTGCAGTAAGTGACTTGGCTGGCTAACCTTTTAAAAGGGTTACAAAGCAGTGTTTTGTTTCAAACTGTTACTGCTTTAGGTCTAGGTGTTTTCAAGCCTTTATTAATAATTACTCTTAAAATACATAATGTATTTTAATAACATTTTGCGTAATGTTGTTACTGATATATGCATATTATATGAACTTATGGTGAATGCTATTGTTGTTGTGATGTTGCTTTTTTGTAATCTTTTGAGTTGATATACATTTGGTTTACCTTCAAGTTGTTGTCTACTGTTAAAAATGATACATAGTTAATTTCATTATTAGACCTCACTGCATTTAATCATTCACTAAAATTAATATTTAGATTCACTAAAAGCCTACTACTACTACTACTCTGGTAAATCACATCAGCTTTATCAGGTACAATGATTTCTTTTTTTTGTATGTAATTTTTTTCTTATTTACTTATTTGTTACATTTTTTATTTATCAAATGATGTATTTATGTGGTATAGAAGAACAAAATATTGTTAAGTTTAGTGAATTTTTTAAAAATTTTTACTAATATTTTTTTCAAATAAATAATATTGAAGTTTGCTTAAAAGGGTTTTACCACGTTTTTTTTTTTTAATTTTTCTATATTAGGAGTTTTCATTTTATTATTTTTAATGCAAATATCTATTTTTTATTATATTATTATTTTTTCTTTAGATCTAAATTGGAGCAGCTACAGACTATATTGCTCCCAGCACCCAGGACCACTCTGAGAGGTCCATTAACAAATGTTGCAGTAATAATGGTATGGAATAGCCCTCTTTCAAATGGAGGGCTCATCCATACAGGGGTGCTGGGAGGCACCAAGTAAAAAATAGAAACAATTTTTTAATATATTCAATCAGTGAAGATATTAACTTTTTTAGTATTAATTTTTTTAATATTAATTTTTTTGTTGCTGTTTTTTCCTTGGTTTTTATTTTCATTAAAAAAATATATATTCTAAATTGTTTGTTTTTATTTTTTTAGTATTTGTTTAGATTATTATTTATAGTTTTTATTACTTTAATTTTTGATTCACAATATTACATGGCTATTATATTGCTTCGAATATATACCATATCAGTTAATCATTTTTGAAAAAATGTACTGCAGCAATTTATTAATTATAACAAAAATCACATTTAAATTTGTAATATTTTTAAGTTATAATTTTAAACTAATTAGATGATTTCCAGCAAATTTTATTTCTTTTGATTGTTTTGAATTTAATAATTTAGTGTTTATAGCTTTTAACTTATGTTAAGCTTTAATAAATTTAATCTTTTGATTTTAATGTGTAATAAATAATATAAAATATTGGAAAAAAGATTAAGTAATAAAAAAGCAGATAATTAATCTTTGATAAACTTTGTCATGTTGCTTATTATATTGTTAGCATTTCAGTGATGCTGTTAAAATTTTTTTTTCTTTAGAATTTAGAAAAATGAATTAAACTACAACTTTTGAACAGTCATTGTTTGTGAAGGTTAAAATATTTGCATGTTTTTTATACAATTTTTTTTATAGAAGTAGTATTAAAGTTTACTAAAAGCGGTTTACAAATACTTTACTTTTTATTTTTTGTCTTCTTTTTTTTGTATTAACAGTACCCTTTATCATTAAATTTTTTATTATTTTTTTTTTTTATTACTATTGGTTAACTTTTTTATTTACATTATGTTTATAAGTTTATTTTTTGTTTAAACATCTTTTAACGGATATATTTAAAAAAATGTTTTTATAAAAAACTCACAATATTGTTGTATAATTTGGTTTATTTTAAATGAAAATTTCCTATGTAATGTTTTAAAAATTATTCTTTGTGTGTGTGCAATTTAGAGAAGTAAAAAAAAAATCACAATCTTCAAGATTCTTTTAAAATTTTTTGTTACTACTATCAATTAAAAGTGAAGTTTAAATGGATGATATAAGGCTAGAAGTGGCTATTAGTTTAGAAAATGATGGAAATATTATTAAGCAAGTTGAAAATAATCGTCGCAGAAATGCAAGAAATGGGCTGAGGCGGGATGAAATTAATAATCAACACAATGCTAGATATGCTGCATGGCAAGCCATGAATAATTTAAGTCAAAATGAGGACAGTGTGATTAGGCAAGTTGAAAATAGTCGTCACAGAAATGCAAGAAATAGGCTGAGGCATATTGAGTGATATTACTTCATTTTTTACACTTTTAGATTATGTATTGTTGTCTAGATTCTTTGTTAAATTACAATTTATTGATGTAAATAAATTTTTATTTTTATTTTTGATAGACAACTTTTAATCGAAAAATAAAAATCTAAGGAGGCGTGAGCTTTCTATTAAATGCTTATTCACGGTGCTCTGTGATAAGACCTTGAGGACTTCTTGGAGCACCTAAAATAAAATAAAAAAAAAAGTTGTTGAAATATAAGAAATGCTGCTCGGCGAGCAGAAAACTTACTTGCCAGAATTCAATGTCAAGCGGTGTTAATGTGTGTTTATTTGATTTTATTTTAAACACTTTAAAACAATTTAAGTCAAATAGTTTTAAATTTAAATGATATTAAATTTTTTTATAAATTCAAACGTAATTATGTTCTTTTTTTTTTAGTTGCCTTTGTTATCACTTGATTAGTTTGCTTACTGTTGAAACATGGTTTTAATTTTGTAAATTTAATGATATGAAATTTACTCTATTAATCATTAGTTGACAGTTAAAGAGAAGCTGGAGCTTTACATAATAAAGGTAAAAATAATTTTGTTTACTCTTAGATAAGAGTTGAAAGAGAGTTAGTGCATGGAGCATCAATAAAACTTATATAATTACTTTTTAGTTTAAAAAAAAGTAATTATATAAGTTTTATTAATGCCACAATTGATAACGACCATGTATATAAAAAATTTTATGAGCTGCTTGGTATTTTAGGATAAAATTGTTCAACATTGTAATCAATAAAATCTTTTTAGCTCAAGTATTTTAGTTGATAAAATATCTTACGTTGTGGTGTTATACGTTATTACGTTATTTACTACGTTAAGTTGTCTAGCCTTTATATAATCTTTTTTTTTTTAATCATTTTGAAGAAACATAGTAATGTGTGCTTACAAATATCTTATGCTATGCGCTATTGTTAATGTGTTTTGTGTTGATAGAACTGGGCTATTACAGCAATTTTTTTAAGTTGTTATATCTTCATTCTATCAACAATAAAATGCATATAATACTTTGTAATTATTTTTCGTTCCTTTTTTTAGGCATTGGAAGGCTTTACTTGACTTTCTTTTTATGGTACCTGCTGTGTTGTAACAGATCTTAAATAGAACTTTACGGATGTTAACGTAGTCTTTTTTGTTGGTAACCGTAAGCAATTATTTAATTACTAATAACCCGTATTACGGGTTGCTTACTGCTTGTATATATATATATATATATATATATATATATATATATATATATATATATATATATATATATATATATATATATATATATATATATATATATATATATATATATATATATATGTATATATATGTATATATATATATATATATATATATATATGTATATATATATATATATTTATATATGTATATATATATATATATATATATATATATATATATATACATATATACATATATATATATATATACATATAAATATAAATATATATATATATATTTATATATATATATATACATATATATATATATATATATTTATATATATATATATATATATATATATATATATATATATATATATATATAATATACATATATATATATATATATATATATATTATATATATATATATATATGTATATGTATAAATATATATATATATATATATATATAAATATATATATATATATATATATATATATATTAGGGTGATTCAGATTGTAATAGAAAAAAAAAATGTCACAAAAAACATTCTCCTCAAGGTTGCCTGTGTTCCTTTATCACCTAGGATCATGTGTACCAAAAATTAGACTAAAAGAAGCAATTTTAGGGGTTGCCTTGTTTTATAAGATGAATTAACCATTGGTAAAATTTTTTGTGATTTGATATATATATATATATATATATATATATATATATATATATATATATATATATATATATATATATATATATATATATATATGAATATAAATGTGAATATATATATATATATATATATACAAATATATATATATACATATATATATATATATATATATATATATATATATATATATATATATATACAGCTGCGAAAAATAAAATAGCACCACCACCAAAAATTGGTAGAAATTAGAATTTTTAACTATTTTTGATAATTTGAAAATCTTTTAAATACATATTTAAAAGTAAAAAGTGGTGGGTTTGGCATCAGCAACCACCTCCTTTACGTCAGCCCGCAAATTCTCGATTGGGTTAAGATCTGGCGACTGTGCTGACCACTCCATAACGTTCACTTTATGCTCCTCAAACCAATTCTTCTCCTTTTTGCTAGTGTGCTTTGGGTCATTGTCCAGTTGGAAGACTCTATGAAAACGGCATTTCATAGTCTGCATACGCAACACCACTTTATCTAATATATCAACATAAACATATTGATCCATTATAGTAGTAATGAGATGAATAGGCCCTACTCCGTAATAAGAAAAGCATGCCCATATCATTGTACTATAGCCTCCATGTTAAACAGTTTATATGGTATATTTTGGATTGTATTCTGCAGTCGGCGGTCTTCTGACATACGCCCGAGAGCCTTTTCCACCATAAAGCACAATCTTACTTTCGTCTGTCTATAAAATATTCCTCCATTTTTTGAGTGGTCAATTTGAGTGTTTTTTTAGCAAACGCAAAACTATCGGACTAAGCGATGTTGAAATAGAACGTTTTCGACCACGTGTTTCAGACTTTTCTTGAAATTTATGGCATTTCTTATCATTTTATAGAAACCCTCGACTAAACGACCAATTTCTCTATAAAGTTTCCCTGCTGATATCAACTTTCGGATCAGTTCTCGTTTTTCTGCACTGCAATGCTTTCCGCGTCCCATTTTTATATGTAAATGTCTCCTACTAATACGCACTAACATAAAACGAACAAAACAGCAAAAATTAAACCCAACGCTTGCTATTTTCACAATTATTTTTATCATTATCAGAGTATTTTACAACAGAATAGTGTGTGGTGCTGTTTTATTTTTCGGTCAGAACTGGCATTTTTGATTAAGATCGAGCAACACCAAGCAGTTTTTTCCCCAAAATAATTTGTTTCAGAAAATAAACATGTTAGCTAAAATTTTAAACAGTAAAGCTATAAAAAATTTTTATTTTGCATGGTATTTTCTTAACAAAAAGGAAAATACGCTTAGTGGTGCTATTTAACTGTATATATATATATATATATATATATATATATATATATATATATATATATATATATATATATATATATATATATACATATATATATATATATATATATATATATATATATATATATATATATATATATATATATATATATATATATATATATATATATATATATATATATATATATATATATATATATATATATATATATATATATATATATATATACAGAGCCGTCTTTAGGGTGGCGCGAGTGGAGTAGCCGCTAAACACGAGGCCATCCTAAACACGAGAAATCAAAACTTTTACATATTGTTAACGAGAGTAAGGCCACGCGCAGCAACGCCTTACTCTTGTTAAAAAATAAAAGGCGTTACTGTCGTTAAAAAATAAGAAAATGTTTTGGTTTAATGAAAATAATATAACAATAATATATATACCAAAAGTACCTAATTACCCGCGCAATTATTTATTAATTAAAAAATTATCAACTTGATTTTCCTTCGTATGTGATAAAAGCGAACAAACAATGCAAACCATTGTTCGAAGCTATGGAATAGGGTGTGTCATACTTTTTTTTTTTTGAATTTTGACTCGCATAATTTAAAAAAGGGTGAGGTATAATATTACAAGTTTAGAACCGTCAACAAAAAAAAAAAAAAAAAGTTTTAGCTACCAGGGAACCAGTGACACTATTTTACCAAAACCCCTGGGGGAGGGGGAGGTATGAACTTAAAAAAATTGAAGTATTTTAAAAAAAAAAACTTACAAAACGCAAAAAAACGTTATCTCTATTTAAAAAAAATATAACTATTTGTATAAAAACAACTAGGGTGGTTTGCCCCCCTCCCACAACCTCCCACTAAAACTGTAAAATTAAGTTGTTTTGGAATTAAAAATAAAACTTTCATATAGATCCACAAAACATCTACTAGCACATTAAAATAAAGTACAATAAAGATTAATTCTTAAACATTGTCAAGCCAATAAGGTTTTGTTTAGATAGATTTCGTGACATCAACTTCTGTGACAGCTCTTGTCCTTTAATCCAACCATCTCTTCTATCTTCTGTAAAAACATTTTCGCAAGCCTGGGTAACTTTTTTTACACATCTTTCGACAGCTTGAGTGTGGCAACACCAGTTTGATACAATCATTGGTTTAAAAAAATACTCTTTAATATCTTTAGTTGTCATGCAACAAGTCAAAGGTGGTTCCAAAGCTTCATTCCAATCAATAAGGTCCTTGAGACAAATTGCTTTAGTATTGATATCTGGTGTCCTTCTTGGTCTAACAGATAGATCTCCAAGTTGTACATTTTCATTACCTTCTCCTCTTATTTCAAGAATTTTGTTTACACTGAAATCTCTCTCCTCTTTATTTTCACAACAAAGCATAGTTTGAAGAATAGAATTAGAGAAGGCATACTAAGCAGATCGCTTAATAGTTGGAATGACCATATTTTGAATATCGAGTGACTGGTGTTGAAGCAACTTAAGCTGGTAAAGAACATGTTTTGGTCCTTCTGTCCAACTATATTTAACTTTGATGTTAAACCAGACAGGAAAGTACACTCCTACAATAAACTCGACTAGTTTAAGAAGGTTTTGGGCTGCATTGCCTTGAAGACCATGATGAAATATCCAAATTCTACATATTCTATTGGCTGTTGTTAGCCATCTGGCCATGTTAACAGGGCCAATTTCCAGAAGTACTAGTTGCTGAGAAACATGACCACTGCGTATAGCTTTAACTATTTGATAGCCATAATACTGATCTGTTGAAAGATCTTTAACCACATCATTACTCAAGTTAATTAGAGGCTCACCAGTTTCCACTCTACTAAAAAAAGGGTTAATTTCAAGATTGGTTGCTTCATCAAGTAAGCTTCCAATGGGTCCACTCCATTTTGTACCGCTTTTAGATTCTCCGTCTAACAATTTAATTAAACGTTTGAGTGGTAATTCATTGGTATGTAGAGCGCAGACAATCCAATTTAACTTTCGCCCTAATTTCAGCTCCATAAAGTGCATTACTCCTCCATCTCAACCAGTGTTTACATTGATAGAGTCTCCGCCAATTGCTTTTAAGTGTGTACTAATGTTTCTCATTGCAGTATACTCAATAATCTTATCTGCTATAATTTCAGCATGGTTCTTTTTTGCTTCTTTAGCTGGAGTAAAATGAAATAAATACTTATCATCACCAGAACAAACAGTGTAATGTTCTTCTTTTACTTTAGCCGGATACTGTCTGTCTGATCCATCTACAGTTAAAAATACTTTAGTAAGATCTTTTCGCCCATCAAAAAATATGCAGTCAATAATCTCTTTATTACAATAATCATCAAACCGAACAGCAACTTCATTCATGACTTTATCCCTAGCTCTCCGAACTTTACTGTGATCTATTATTAATCTAGTGTCACTTTGGGCTACAAGTCCTCCATCTACCCATGCTGCAGTAGCTATGGCTGCAGTTGCTCTTAAACCATCACCATATTGAATACTGGCCAATGCAATATTAGAGATATCTTCATAATTTCTAGATTTTTTTAAATATTTTGTACAAGGCTTTTGAATAGAAAAAATCTCATTTTCATTAGATTTCTCTTCATAATTTTCATGTTCGTTATCTTGTTCATATTGCGTATTATTTTCTTTTTGATCAGTGTGTTTTTTTTCTCTCATTTGTTTTTCTTCTTCTCTTCTTCGTTTGCAACTTTGCACTTTTTTGAACTTTTTGGACTCCATCAAATCAGCAGGCCCAAATTGATATGAGCTTAAAGATCCAATCTTTTCTTGTTGGGCTAAAAAAATGTGACAACAATTTGCTTACAACCAGACAAATTAAAAAAAAATTTTATTTTTTAAATAATCAAAGAAATCAGTATAGTATAATAAAATTTGGTTTTCTGCTTTACTAACACTTTTATAGTGACTTTCATATATTCACTCATACCTTTTATATAAACCAGTTCATTTATTGGTATTTTTCTCTCCCAAGGACATATCCAGGTAATGTGGGCACCAACTTTACAGTCAGTAGAACAGCCTCGCTCAGAAAAAAGAGATATTTTACAGTTACACTCCACCAAATCAAATAGTTTGTCAATAATTAAATTAAACTTTTGTTTTATAAATTTACTTGCTCTATTTTGAGAAATCAGGTTAGCTTTGTTCCATGCAACTTTAAGTCTTGTTACCAAATTATGTTTTAAACTAATTACGGGAGGCACAAATAAAACACTGGCCATTTGCCATTTTTCTGAAAGTTTATTATAAATATCCTGGATCAAATCAGAATTACTATAGTTTCTTCTGTTTAGTTTGCTTGTTTCTTTTAAAAAATACCATATCTTAGGACACCTCTCAGTGTTGGCAGTTCAGCTGTTGGCAACTCTTTTCCAGATCCCAAATATTGGCGTAGACAAGAATCATTTCTCCATCTTGTTCCAGCAGCCATTTTAAATTTAATTATACTTTGTATCTGGTAATTTTGAAAATTATATATATATATATATATATATATATATATATATATATATATATATATATATATATATATATATATATATATATATATATATATATATATATATATGTATAACTTGCATAACAAATATTAAAACAAAAAACTTTAGAATGATGTTTTCTGTGTAGCCATTTAGAACCATCAATTAAAATGTATAACTTAAATTACATACAAAACTGGTACTAATTTACATCTCTACCCCCTATTTTTATGTTTGATTATGAGAACTTTATGCTGATTAAGAATCGTATAAAAACATAGCTCTGAAAACTAAAGCAAAGTACTCTAATTAGATCTTGAAGTTTAAAATATTACACAAAAAACGCTAATATTCCCTATCTTTTTTAAATGCAACTAAACCGAAGTGTCAATTCGCACGACCGTCGTGCAAATAACAAAAATAAACTTATTCGCACGACCGTCGTGCAAATAACAAAAATAAGCTTATTCGCACGACCGTCGTGCAAATAACGAAATAAAGTTTATTCGCACGACCACGGTTATATATAAACTATAAATAAAATACGCATGTGCTATTCAAAAAGGTAGAATTCAATCAGGAAGTTTGTTTGGAATAAACTGATTTATTTAATTTATTTTTGCTATAAATATGATTGCATAATAAACCTTAATTATATTTTTAGTTTTATCTTATCAAATTAGTCATGAATATTGAAACTAAACAAGGAGATGAGTTTGATAACTTTGCTGAATTTGAAAACAAATTGGCTTCTTGGTCGGCATTTACAAACATTTTGTGGACTAAATGTAACAGCAAAACTGTTACATTGGCTAATAAGGGTTTGAGTCAGAATTCAAAACATTTTGATGAGAAGTTTAAATTTAGAAATGTAACATATTTATGCAAGCATGGAGGAGTTAAGAGAACAAAAGGGAAAGGAATTCGCCCAAATCAAAGGTTTTAAATATTTTGTTTATCTAATTTATTTTTATCTAAAAGTTTTTTAAAAGAAAAGAAATCTAATATTTTATTTGTATATGCTAAATTTCATTTTAATTATTTTTTGCTTGTTTTTGGCTGGCTTGTGGAAGCTGGCATTCGAGCTTGAATAAGATCTCATATCAACTACAACTTCTCTGTGGGTAGTTTACATTATAATGTTCACTACCCACTGATAGAACTCAATAATTTTCAGAAAGTGAAGATTTTCACTACTTTTTTTTTTAGCTCTTTCAAAATTGGATGTTGTGCCAAACTTTATATTAGTATTAATAAAGATAAAACAAAACTAGTAGTACAGCAACTTCAGGCTAACCATAACCATGAAGTCAGCAGGTTAGTACAACTATATTTTATTATTAGTTTATTTTGCAAAAAAATTGTGCTTTTTTTTACTTTTTTGAGTTAATTTGTATTTTTTATTGTAATTTTTATTTTTAAATTTTTATTTTATTTGTATTTATTTTTATGCCTTCATAGAACTGCTTTTATGCATTACCCTGAACAACGCCGGTTAAGAGAAATAGTTAAAGATGATATTGGCACAATGTTTAAACTTGGTGTTAAAGTCTGTTTTTTAAAAGAATATTTAAAAAATAAAGAAAGAAAAACAGTAACATCGAAAGATTTATTCAACATAAATAAAAAAATTGAACTAGAACGCAATTGTGAAAAATCAAATGAGGCTTTATTGATCGATGAACTAATGTCCTTCTTCTCTAACTTTTCTTTTTCAATTTTTGTATTTTACAGAATTTATGATTTAGAGTATATATATAGAGGCAGCAAACGCCTGATAATTTTAACCTAAATGTATTCAGAGATTTATTCAGAGGTTTATTGTACTTTAAGTTAAATGGGTTATAGTTCAAATATAGTTTAAATAATACACTTTATTAATCAATTTATTTTATTTACATATTATCTAAAAGTTTTAGTTAAAGTTTGATTTTTAATTTCAGGTGAAAAAGATCCTGATACAGTTATATCTGTTCAAGTTGATTCAGACGGTGTTCTGCAGTTTCTTTTACTAACAAGTGGAGATATGCAGCAGGTGTTCGATATGTTTCCTGAAGTGCTATTGATTGACTGCACATATTGCACAAACAAATTAAGAATGCCTTTATTCACTCTGTTAGTTGAGGATGGAAATGGAACAGGTCAGGCTGTTGGTTATGCTTTCATTGCACAAGAAACTGAAAACACTCTGCATGATGTGTTTTCAGAAATTGAACTTATACTGAATCTTAACCAAGTAAAGGTTGTCATTCTTGACAAGGACCTGAAAGAAATAGGTGCAGTTTCCAAGGTTATGCCTACAGCAGAAATCCAACTGTGTAAGTTTTATGTTTTGCAAGCATTTTAAAGATTTTTAAATAAACAAGGTTTAGCTAGTATAGAAAAAGATAATCTAAAAAAAATATTTAAATTGCTTGTGTATGCAAAATCAAAGAAATTGTTTGATATAAATTTGGGTCATCTTGCTACAGTTGCACCAGAAGTTGTAATGGCATACTATAACAAAAATTGGGGCTTGCCACACCAAGTTAAGTATTGGGCATACTATGAAACTATCAAGTATGTTAATCTTGGTAATACAACAAATAACAGGTCCGAGTCCCATAACCAAAAAATTAAAAACATATTGTCTAGGAAAATGTCTTTAGCAGAGGCAGTAAAAGGTATCCTTTTGTTACATACTTGTAAATTTGAACAAATGGCTCATATTGAGTTTAATCAATCTTTTAAAGAGCCATATAGATTAGGTACTGATGAAGATGTAGTTACAGATGATATTGTAAAAGTTCTAACTCAATATGCTGCTGGAATTGTAATTGCAGAATTAAAAAAGTCTTGCACAGATTTGTTAGTGTTAAATAAAGTATGTTCGTGTCCTTTGCAGGTTACTATGAAACTTCCTTGCCGACATACAATGGCAGTGAAAATAGTAAATGGTGATGCTATTTTTAAAGCAGATGATGCAGGAGAGCGATGGCATTTAAGCTATCAAAAAAAAAGTTGGCTTTCTCGTAAGACCAGAAGTTTGCATAATCAGGCTAAAAATGTTTTTCATTTTTAAACTAATAAAACCGAAAAAAAGGCACTAAAAGTGCCATTTTCTAAAGATCAGAAATTTAAAACTGCCATGAATCTATGTAAACCAATTTCGGATTATTTATCCACTCTCGGAATGAACGAGTTTGAAGAAAAAATTGATTCCTTAAATTTAATTTATAAATTGTGGTTAGCTGGGGAAAAAGTTATAATTTCTGATATGGAAGCGCAAGCATTGCCTGAAATCTCTAATTTGCCCAAAGTGTCTGCTTTGCCTGAAATCTCAGATTTGCCTGAAATGTCAGATTTTCTAGAAACGTCAGAGTTGCCCGAAATGTCTGATTTGCCAGAGATGTCCAGTTCTCCAAACTTTTCTGAATCTTTGTTCTCTGCTTTACCATCTAGTCTAAATTTAAATGAACAACTTCAAAATCAAGGAAGCGTTTTATCTCCAAATCAATCTTCTCTAAATGACAGCGTAAACTTCAAAGATCTTCCTACAACTAAATCTGAATGCTGCACCGGCCAAGCAATAAACATTTTTAATAATTTAGCAAATGTATGCTTACCTAAAGTCCCTCCAGTTGTAGGAAATGTCAAAATTAAAAAAGCAAGGCTCAAAAGGAAGCGGGGTTTGTATAATGATCCTTACCATCAATCGTGTCAGCGAATTTTAGGCAAAACTGCTCATAAGGAACAGTTATTAAAAAAGCAACACTCTGTCATAGATCTTCAACTATTCTCCATTAAGGACTCATTCGAGATGTTATCTGATTTGCACATAAACAAAGCACAAAAGCTTTTATCCATGCAGTTTCCAGATGTAAAAGGATTACAAGACCCTATTCTTTGGTCAAAACTTCATTTTAGAGTGCAATCTGGAAAGTTTGTTCAAATTTTACATAATGGTGCAATGCATTTGCTTACCATTTCAAATTTTTTAAGTACCCATCTTAACTCAGTTGATGTTTTTGATTCCTTATATTATGACTTAGGTGTTAGTGGAAAGATGCAAGTAGGATCAATCATGATGGTCAAAGAACCTTTTTTGAAATTACAGTTCAAAGATTTCCAAAAACAATCTGGTGGGCTTGATTGTGGTCTTTTTGCAATTGCAGCAGCAACAGATTTATGTTACAATTATGATCCAAGCATAAAATGCTTTAAGCAAGAACTTATGCAAGATCATTTATTAAAATGCTTCAGTGACAATTACTTAACGCCATTCCCTATAGAGACTAATGAACGATAAAAGAAAAAACTACCTAAACCAATTAATTTACCACTATATTGCATATGTCGTCTTCCTGATAATAAAGAAGAAAAAATGGTTAAATGCGACAATTGTAAGGAGTGGTTTCACGTTTCATGCCTTTCCATTCCAAAGAATATATTTGATAATTCTGAAAACTCTTTACATTGGCATTGTAATTCATGCAGCTAACTAAGGTATTTTATTTAAGGAGCGGGTATTTATTAATTTTTGAAAATTTTGCCACCTATCCTAAGCGTATTAAGACCCCCTACCCCCGTTTATTGATATACTTGTTAACAATAAAAACGTTACATCTCAAAACTTTAAAAAAGTTTAAAAAAATATATATTAATAACCGATAAAAAATAAAAACTTTTCCCATCAACCCTTTTATTACGCCTGTCCACACCCCGTTAATTAGGTCTGGGATATAATTCCCACTTCCTTTTATTTCCCTCCAAAACTCCCTGTATGAAATAAGAATAAATTATTTTTTTTTACTTTACCTATCGATACCTTATATGTTTTACAATACCAATATTATTGTTCCTTTACGGTTTTTTACCCTAAGGTGCTTAGGGTTTAAGCATCTTATGGTAAATAAACGTAAAGGAACAATAGTCGATAGATGTAAAATATATAAGGCATCAATAGGTAAAGTAAATAAAAAATTAATTTTTTATTTCCTTTTCTTGCATTCATTTTAAAAGAATTTGAAATGGGTGTGCAAACTAAATTTTTATGTTTTAGTATGTCGAGATATCAAAGCTAATCAGTATAAACGGTATTATATAAGTTTAACCAAGTTTCTCCTCTGTTTCAAGTTGGTAAAGATAGTCATATCCGAGGCGATGATGAAAATGATATTTAAAAAAAGTTTTGCTAACCAGAATATAATTATTACACATTTTTCTTGTGTTTTCTCTGCAGCTGCGCGTATTACACATTTCTTGAAATCTGAATGAGTTTATAAAGAGATATTTTATTTTAGAAGTTTAAAAACTACTCCAGCCAAAAGTTGATTTGTATTAGGAATGCCAAAACTGGATGTCTGAGTACCTTTCAACCGTTACTACTTTATTTGAATAACTCTTTCTCTAAATGTTATAGGTTTATAGAATATAGAACCAGCAAGTGGTACCTATTGCCTTGACCCATGTAAATAAAAAAGTATTACAAACTTAGAGTTAAAAAACAATTATTTGCACAATATACACAGTAATTAGTTGCACAGTATACACAGTAATTGCGATTATATAAAAATAGATCAAATATAAGTGTATAGAAGTTAAAATTTAATATTAACTAAGTCAAAATGTATAAGAGAAAATATAATCTATTTTGAACTTTCTATTTGGAGTTTACGGCGTAATATATACTATATATATCACGCCTTAACATATTAGTGACTATACTTGTCTAGACTTATCGATGCAGAGAATGTATAAATACAATTGAAAGAATTCAGTATCAAAATTGGGTTAAGACACTAATCACCTAATATACGACAAACGTTTAACAAGTCTTAGTTAAACTACCCTTCACTTTCACCTTTAACACGGTTACCCTTCAAATTCGCCGTGTGCGTAGTGACCTTAAACAGTGAACTTATACAACTAGTACAAAACAATTAATAGAATTGATTGAATCAATTTTGTAACGTCATAAATCGGACCAGTTTATTGAGGATCTAAGTAAAGTCTTAGAACAAGCCGAATAATTTGAATAAGAAGCCGAAATTTTTTTGAAACATGATAAAAGACATAACTTTTTTACAAATGCTGTAGTAAAAAAACTGGAATTCTCTGTAAACTGCCACATTAGACTACCACCATCGCTAAAAAATTTTAATGGTGGACTTAGATATTGGCTGGCGTAGCTATAATTGCAAATTTTGTAAGAAAATAGGGATCCTTGCCTGCTTTTTTCCGTCAGATGTGCATTTTAAACAAATAGGATGTGCATTTTAAACAAATTTTATACCGTGAATTGTTGTTGTTGTTCTTTTGATTTCAATTAATTTGTAAATGTATACATGTAATATACATATACACGCATATAATAGTCGTGCTAAAAGCCGTTTTTATTGTTTTACATGGTTGTGTGAATAAGCTTATTTTCGTATTTGCACGACGGTCGTGCAAATAAGTTTATTTTCGTTATTTGCACGACGGTCGTGCGAATAAGCTTATTTTCGTTATTTGCACGACGGTCGTGCGAATAAGCTTATTTTCGTTATTTGCACGACGGTCGTGCGAATAAGCTTATTTTCGTTATTTGCACGACGGTCGTGCGAATAGACTCGGCCCAACTAAACACTTTTTTATAAATCTTATTTTTAATTACGTAACCCGGTTTTTATTTTCATCGATACTAAAATTTACATAGTTTAAAAAAAAATACAATTATTAATTATAATTAAAAAATAAACTTTTTTTTTTACATAAATTATTCTTTATATTTAAAAAATTAATTAAACTTTTAAAGGTAATGTTGCAGAATAGTGGCGTAAAATTCTGATTGTTAACCTTTGCCCTCTTGCCCTTAGTTACTGATTTAGGGATAGGCGAGGGCTTCAGTACATACATCGACTGATTTAGGGAGAACTCGCAAGAGAGTTGACAACACATCGAAGGGTCAGGGTTGGGGCAGGTATCAATTTATATCATTATTCTTCCTTGAAGCCCTTGCCTATCTCTAAATCAGTAGCTACTAAAAAACAGTTTCGATTTTTGTTGACATAAAAAACCAGGTTGTTTATGTTATTTTCAAAGTTTACTTTTGAATGAATTTTAATCATAACAGAGTACAAAAAAGATGGTGAATAATAGCGTTTTTAGTGTGATTTTTAAACTTCAAGATCAAATTAGAGTACTTTGCTTCAATTTTCAGAGCTATGTTTTTATACGATTCCTATACGATTTGGGACGCAGCAAAATGATTATCTAAATCTATGACAATTTTCGGTATTGTACAAAAAATTTATGTGCTTTTTTCTTTGTCAAAAATGCGATGGCAAATTTTATTCAACACTTACTAAATCTGACTGTAAAAATGTCCTGTGACACTTGTTGGGAAAGTAAACTGGAGCGCTTCGATATCAAATTAAGCAAGTTCATAGTGCATTAGTTGAACTAGTTGAATTCACTGAGGATCCAAAAAAAAAGCCATTAGTAAAACACCACCAGTTACGAATAAAATAAGTTATGAAAAAAAAGCTTACAGACTCAAAAAATTCACCTTGGAGTTGCGTCGCATTTACTTCAAAAGCTAGTTCAGTTTTTTTCAGAAATTTCGATTTAGGTTTTGTGCCGGCAACATTGTTTGCAAGAGAACTTAGTGAAAATCTTGGTTAAAACCAAATTTCAAAGAAACCAGGCAGAGAAAGAAAACAAGAATATTTGAGTACGAGGGAGACCCTATGGCAGGATCCGCCTAACAAATGTTTAAAGCGGATTTTTTTTTTGTTATTGCAGAAGGTTTGAACAAATAACTAATTACGATACTATATTTTGATTTTTGTATCCTGTAAAAAAACTAAAAGAAGTAAAAGAAGATAAATTGTTTCAAAGATGTAAAGACCTAGAGTTGTTCCTAAGCTTAGAATAAGAAAAGAATGTTTGCGGAAATGACCTTTTTTCTGAACTTAAGGTTCTTCGAGAACTTCTACTGGCTGAGGTGGAAACAGCTGCAAGATTTTGATATTAATTACCAGATTCAAAACCCATTTCTAAATGCATTTATAACGTATAGAATTTTACTGACTATACCTGTAACTATGGCAAGCGCAGAAGGAGTTTTTCACGCTTGAAACTAATCAAGACATAATTAAGTTCGTCCATGGGTCAGGAAAGGCTATCAATTGTGACATCAAGTTTTCATCCTTTTGACGCAATTTTAAAAACTATCTAACCCTGGACAATTGTTTTTATAGTATTAATAACACTGTATTATTTTATTATAAATATTTGCGAGTATTCTATTATAAAATTAATGTCTGTTATTTTACATTGTGACCTTTTATTATATAACATCCACCTACCTATGAGTACTCTTCATATCAATTGCTGAAAACTTAATATGTGCAAATAAGATTACTATTTTGTAAAAATATATTATATTTTTTATAACTGATTATTCAATAATAACCAAAAAAGGAAAAATTTATTTGTTATTCTAATTCATTTATTTATTATCAGACAAAAATTATTATTTATTTTACATTACTTGGCCTTTAATAACTTTAAGAATAAACTTTATTGTTATTACTCTAGATTATTTTATAAGCAATCAGCCCTTTTAATAAACCTACACAACTCAAAATTATACCAACCCGAAATTTTTGTTTTGCACTTAAACAACCTCTTTTCAGACAGTATGAGAAAAAGTTTTTCATTTTATGTAATTATTTCCATTTTTATATATATTTGTTATAAAGAATAATATAATTATTAAAATAAAGAATAATATAATTATTCTTTATATAATAATTATATAAATAATTATATAAATAAATATAAAAAAATATAAAAATAATATAATTATTAAACCTTCTTTTTGTCAAAAAAAATCTCTTTGATTCTAAAAGTTTTCTTTTTTTTTTGTAATTTTTGTCAATCGATAGAATAATTTTTGACTAGTTTCTTTTTCTTTCCACTTGATTCCTTCATAATATTCTATAACTATATTTTATTCCATGTCTTTGGTCCTCCAATTGAAATTGAAAACTCAGTTGCCGCAAAATAACTTTTGGGTAGTATATAGGTGTTTTAATATCTAGTTAAGTATATATTCTGATTTGTTTTCAATAAAGAATTAAAAGTTTTTAGAATAATACCTTTATTAAATTTGAACATAAAAATTAGAAGATGAGAAATATTTTTTTGGTAGATATTTAGTATATTTAACTTAATGAAAAAAAGGTTGGCATTGTATATAGCGGCTTTCATTGGATATAATTCTTATTGGATGTATTTGCTTATTAAAGTGTTTTTTTAATTTATTTTTATTGGTATTACACTATGCATTGTTAGCGTAATTAAGACAGGAATGAATAAAGGAGAAATATAAGAGTTTTAAACAACTTGAATTTGAAAAAAGTTTTGCCCTATAAAGTAGGCCAATGCTCTTTGATATTTTACCTTCAATATATTTATATGATCTCTCCATATTATATTTTCGTCAAGTAGTACTCCAAGAAGTTTTAATGGTACTTCTCTTTTTATTTCGTAATTGTTAATACATAGGTTTTGTTTAAATGAAATTTTGTCTCGTTCATGATTGCGATGGAAAAAGTATATTTTGTTTTAGTTAAATTCAGAGATAATTTGTTTACTTTAAACCATTCAGCAAGATATAGTTGTTCTGTGTTTACAATTTTAAAAATATTTTTATATCATTGTGAGCATAAAATAGATTAGTATCATCTGCAAACAAGATTGTGTGTAATACATTACAAGATTTGTTTAAATCATTGATATATATTATAAATAAGTGCGGTCCTAATATAGATCAAGTTAATTTCGTATTATTAGTTTTTCCCTAATTGTGAGAAACATATTGCTGTCTATTGGACAGGTATTCTTTATGTCTATTTGACAGATAATCTGTCTATTTGAGGTAGTCTTTAAGGTTCAAGTGTTAAATACTGTACATTTTTAATTTGGTTAATAAAATACCTTCATTTACAGTGTCAAAAGCGTTGCTGAGATCAATAAAAACCCCTAAAGCATATTTTATCAAAAAATTTAGGAATATCATGAACAAGATAAACAATTGCCTGATCAGGAGAGTGATCTTTTTTAAATCCAAATTGTTTATTATAAAGAATGTTAATAATATTTAAGAAAATAGTCTTTTATACATAATATGTTGTAATATTTTGAGAAGTAGTATTGAAATAGGTCTATAATTTGCAGATATTTTCATATAATTATCAATACTTAACAATAATTGTCAAACTAAAAAAAGTACACTTCAAAATAACACATAAAAACACATTAAAACAACGACAACAAAAAACATATAAATTAACTTCTACCACGTCTGAAAGTTTGGACGTATCTTTAACAATGATAAATTAAGAACTAGATGTAACTAACTGCCGTAAATCGGTATTAAAAAAATGTGAAGCCAAAAACTGCTGTTTTAGGGTCAAAATCTTTATACGGTTTATCTAATCAAAAACACTTTCAATATATATCAAAAAATTTCAAGAATCATTTAATAAGTGTGTTATAATTAATTCTCAGATATTAAATGTTTTTTATGTTTATTTTTATGTTATTTTGAAAAATTCAAATATTATAAAATAAATTATTGTCATTTTTGTAAATTAATTTGTTTTGTTTTTTAACATTCTGTATCATAGAGATTATATAAACAAAAATATACATTAAATGTATCATGCAGGGTTTGATTATTAACATAAGATTTGATTGGACTACAAGACTTGTAATCTGTTACCATTTCATCAACCTTTTAGTCATTAATTTCTCTCTGCTGTAATCCTGAGAGGTATAATAACATAACTGCAAAGGTTTGGTGGACCATTCTGTAAGACTACCTTAATTATTGACTAAGCTCTGTGTTACACAACTTAAAGTTTCCTTCTAGAAATGTTTAATTACTATCTATGTTTATGTCTAATTACTTTTTTTAGTACAAACAAAGCTCTGTAAACAATTCATAAAGTAGTTGTACAAACTTTTATTTACGCGCAGTTTGTTTTCAAAGATTCAAACGCAGTTTGTTTTCAAAGGAAAAAAGGCTAGAACTTTTTAAGATTCATTTTTATTTTTTTATTCGATAAAAAGTTGCTACTCCACAACTATTATTATTTTATTTGCATAATAAAATACTTCGTCTTCTTAACCGAATTTCAGCTGTTTCTTTAATTTAGTTAAAAAAAAGTAGCAAATGTTAAGGCGGACAACTACGATTCGTAATGCAGGTAACTTCTGATGTAATTGTATCCATCATTTTCTTTAATTCCGTCAGTTGCTCCTTCATTTCTTTCTGCAATTAAAAAAATCATATAAAATTTTTTTAATGTCAGGCCCGTAGCAACTGGGTGGCAGCAGGAACATATTCCCGCCCCCTCCTTCCCGATAATTTTTCAAATAAATAATTTTGAAGAAACTGACTGAAAAAATGACTAAAAAAAAAAGTTTTTAAAACTATTTCGGGGTAGTTATCCTACGGCCCTGAATGTAGCATTGTATATTAGAGGTTTTACTTACATTATGTAAGTAAAATCTCCAATATGCAACTTTACCATATTAGAGATTTTTTTTATTAAAAGAGTTTCTTTCATTAAAATCTAATATAAAATAATTTCGAAATGTTATATTAGATTCTCATAATGCAATATATATTTTCTCTGTAATATGAGATTTTTTATATTTTGATTATTATCAAATTTTAAATTTGAGATTTATAAATCGAATTACAAATGAATAATAATAAATTTATATTATTGGAAAAAATTACTATATCCTCAGTAATATACGATTTTTATTAAAAGTATTTTAATATTAAATATTAGTTAAAAGAAAAAGTTTCATATTTACTAAAAACTTATTATCATAAGATTATTGCCCATACTGCCGATGGAAAATGCTTTATTTTAAATGGTTATTGTAAAAAGCTGTATAAAAAAATAGTAAAACAATACACCGAAGTTGTTTTA